CCCCAAAACCCCAAAACCCCAAAACCCCGTTACTCAATTAGATAATTGTAATTTATAAAATATAGGGAAGAGTAGGAGTTTATTATGATGTGGAGTTCGCTAGGATGTGTTTTGGTAGATGAGGGGATAAGGGAAAGTTGAATTTTGGTTTTAGGTTAAAGAAGGGGTTTGCGAGGTTTGTTTTGTTAAAGTGGAAATGACTTGTAGAGCGAAGGTAGCTATGAAAAGAGATAAAAATGATTCTAAAGGTATGGGAGCAATAATATTTAATGACTCTTAATTGTTTTCTAATTTATATATTCTATAGAGCAGATAGAGAAGAATCCAATGGTATATAATAACACCCAAACCATCTTTTTAGAATATCAAAGTTCCAACCAATGAATATGATGATGAAAATCAGAATACCCTCAAAAGTCTCCGAAATCCTTACTCAAAATAACTATGCTTCTCTTGAGATCACTCCTCCTGTAAGCATCAAATGTCATAATGACTAGAATGATTATAACATGATAGTTTCTTTATAAAAAGGAATAATCTACCTGTCAGACTGCCTCAAACAAAGATCGATATTTTTGACTCTGACATGTGAGCAAGAGTGATAATATATAGAAGTGATGATGAAGAATACTCACCAATGATTCCTGTAAGAGTACCACAAGCCGAACATATATCCTCAATTAGAAGAATCCCCTCTCTTGAGCCAAAGATGGGTGATCAAAGGAATAAATTATCTTTTCCATCTTTGAAAAGAACCTCTGAGAAAACACCAGAGAAAAGCTATAGTTATATGAGATTCAAGCGAGATCTTACTAGCAAGCGGGTATGTGATTAGCTTAACTAATAGAGAAGGATTCGTGACCAGAGCACTGACCTAAACATGTAAGCTAATTTTCTACTTTCTACAGGACGCCTCAGAAGCCCATCTCAATCAACGTTCAACTTGCTGGCACCAGCCAGATTTCTGACTTGGAGAATCGCAAAAGTACCTATTGCCTTATCTGTAGAGAACAGAGAGGTGATTTTCCATTCTCCTCATAAGAGGTAAGCCAGTGCTTAACTCTAGTGTGGCTAATCGCCAACACATCAGGAAGCCTCTGGAGTACTTCAACCTCAGGATAATTAATAAGTCAGTCTGAACTCAGTCAGACCTGCTCCGTAGGAGGCAGGTCTCAGCTGAGAGGTTCAAGCTTAAGAAGTATTATGTGAAGAAGAACAACCAGCGGAAGCTAGAGATCATCGAGAATTCCCCTAAGTTAAAGAAACTAGAGATAAATTTTAAAAATCTTAGCGAAGTTAAGAAGTTTGAAGGTGAGTCTAGAATAGATGCATTCCACATGAAAATATATTAATCATACGAGAAGTTGAGTAGATTCCCCTTTTATATCTCATTTTAATACTTTATGTACAGATATTTCTCAGAAAATTAACCTTTCCAGTTTCAAATTCAAACAACAGATTGATAAAAGAAAGTTGATATTTGATAAAGATGAGCTATTCAATCCTAAGTATCACAGAAAGCCGGCTCCCAAAAATAGTCAGATGAATATTAAGGAGAATACCATGGTAACTGGATTGAGATTTGATATTCTTAGAAGGAACCATTTCATCAGGATCTAAATTATTATTTTATGCTCATACTATTGTTTAGAAATCACCAACAAGGAGATCAAAGCAGATGATCAAGAATATAAACTTACTTTTAAAGGATCATAGTCAGAACACCTTGAGCAAGATTATAAAAAAGCGTATGTACTGGTTCTGATTTCACAGAGTTATTTAGCTCTTCGAATTTACTTCTGATAATTTACTGGTAATTATAGATCCTTCAAGCTTAATAGCCAGGAATAGGCTGAAAGCCAGGTCAAAGTCCTCTCTTAACAGTTTGAATTTGTACTAGAAATAACAGTTTCAATCTCTGAGATTGAAGAAGGGGTTTTGGGGTTTTGGGGTTTTGGGGTTTTGGGG